GGCGGGGCCCGGGAGTTGGCCGTGAAAGCGGCCCGCCAGGACCCCGACGAGGACATCCTGGCCACCGCGGAGAGCGTGCGGCAGGAAGCCAAGCTCTTCTCCATGCTGAAGCATCCCAACATCATCGAGCTGCACGGGGTCTGCCTGCGGGAGCCCAACCTCTGCCTGGTGATGGAGTTTGCTAGGGGGGGCTCCCTCAACAGAGCCCTTGGAGGGGCAGCGGCCGCCGGTGGGGGGAGCCGCTGGGGCCGCCGCATCCCTCCGCACATCCTGGTGAATTGGGCGGTGCAGATAGCCCGCGGGATGCTCTACCTGCACGAGGAAGCCATCGTCCCCATCCTACACCGAGACCTCAAATCGAGTAATAGTAAGTCTCCCGAATGGCTTTGTGTGCCTTGTAAGAAGCTGGGCTAGCGATGTCTTTATTAGGGTCAGCAAAGGAGAGAAGTTGTTGTATAAATCAGATTTATGGAGGGAGAGGGATGTGGCCTAGTAGAGAGAGATTTGTCACAAGCTGCTGGATCTGGACAGTTTGACTGAAGGCCCAAGACTTTGACTTGTCCTTACTACAGTACGTCCTCGCTATAAGTCCAAGGTGGACTTATAGCAAAACAACTTAATGTCGGGAATTGTTTTCCCCACGGCTGACTTCAATTTGTGGAAAATGGGTTGGTTTGTTGTTTGCGTGACTTAAGAGCCCGGGATGGGAGGGCTTATAACGCATCGGCTCTTACAAGCGTCAGCAACTTTAGTGCGGAACGGACTGAGGCAACTTATAGCGGAGATGCCCTGTACATGTGTAACTGACTTCTTGTAACCAGTTGGATATGGTGATCTTAATTGGTTACAAGTTCAGTTTGTGGCCACAGCACACCTTAATGCAATGGTGTTGGTATAACTGCACCCACCACACTGCATAGATGTATTTACATTATATTGTTTCTGGGAAAATCTGGGCAGCTATCTTGCTGAATGTCAGTGAGGGATGACATCTTCTGTACTAAGGTAATGCATTTGGGGATATCCCTTCAGTACAGAGAGTTTGAAAGGAGGAGGACTGGTTAACCCCATAAACTGAAACGATTAGGCAGTGCTATATTGGAAATAAATGTTACAATTTGTTTACAGGAAGACAGTCTTGTGGGAGTTTCTGGCAAGAGTGACATGGTTGGTTAGTTGGCTGATACTTGGGGTAACCAAGATATGTGATATGTAAGCCAACCATATCACTAATTAGTAAAAACTCTGTTAAAAATTAGCACAGAGTTGATATATCAAATTGGAACACACAGCGCAAAGTCCTATTTTCCTAGACAGAAATACACACACAAAGAAAACTGTGTAATATAGAACACTCATAATATACTTTCTTCCCTGTCTGTTCTGTGGTTATAAAAGTCTTTTCCTAATTTCTCTTCTCTTCCTCTCCAACCTTATTTTTCTTTTAATTAAATTTGTAATGAGGGTGGCTGTTGAATGACACTCTTAACTTCTATCACACTTTTTTCATTAATATGATTTAGTGCTGATGCATTATGAATGTAAAATCACATTTACAGTAGTTGGTTTAGTGATTAAATATAGTAATTGGTTAACCGATTAAAGGGGAGCCCAACATGCCTGGGCTGAAGTGCCTCCCTGCTGTGGACATGGACTGCTTCAGCTGGCTGGAGCAGCTCTTGCCCAGGGTGCATCCAGGCCAGGCCTGCTGCGGACAGGGGCTGCTCCGGCTGAGCTAGAGTGCCCCATCTGTGGCAGGCCCCGTGGGGCTGGAGCAACCCCCTGCTTGTGGTGGGCAGGGGGCTGCTCCAGTCCAGCCTCTCCACCTCCAGCGGGAGAGCCCTCAGCTTCAGCCCTCGCTGGTTAACCAGAACTGGTAAGCCTGACCCTTTAACTATTCACATCCCTGTGACACATGCGGTCAGATTAATGGATTTATAGATTCTAGTTTTTTCAGTTCAGAAAGGAAATTCCTCTGCTCTTGTTAGGGAAAACCATCTGAAGGATTGAGAGGGTATTTCAGTTTTCATGGGTAAGGAATCATTGGTATTTCTGCGGGAGTTGCTAAAAATTAGCAATGTTTAAGATCTTTTTGTTTTGTGAATGCTGGTCCCCCTAGAAACTGGATTTAGACTAACTGCACTTGATGGTTGCTATCCTGGGACATATTTGAACTGATGACCTAGTGGTGAAAAGTAGTGTTTTAGTGGTTAATTTTTGGGGGACTTTCTCTATGCTAGACTTTTCCCTCTATTTCACACTGGAAGTTTCATCAGAGGGAGTTAGTGATGGGAGTTTTCTTGTGGACAGGAGAGGTTGGCAGATAATGATATTTTTACACTGTTCGGACTTGCTCTGAACAGCAATTAAAATGTTAGTGGCTGTTGGCATCTTGTTCACACTGTTCATGTTGAAACCAGTGGTTATAAATTCTAACCTAATTTTATTTAGATTTAACATTTAAAAAAACAGCCACACAAAAGCTCTGACCTCCCTGAGAGAAAATGTATTAGAAAAATCTTTATACCCAAATCATAACCAGCAACGTATCCTTATCTTACTCTAAAATCCTATCAAACAAATGCTACTGTGAATGCTACTAAATTCATTATTCTACTTCAATTCCCTTAGCAGAACATACTTTCTTAATCTCCAGATGAGAAGGAGAATTGAGAGGTGCCAGGATCTGTCTTTTTCCATCTATGTGGAGAAAGAGAAAACTCTTCCTAGTGGGGTGAGGGGAATAAAGGGGTCAAATGTACACGGGGGGGGGGGGGGCCGCTCTGGTTGGTATTTTTGGGGGGGGGACCTCATGGCATTGCATTGTTTCCTCTTACTTTGTTGTAATTATGGTGCCTGTCAGTTTCATTGCTCCCCTTGTTCTGAGGAAAAAGTAGTTAGGACTTACTTAATGGGTATAGCTGGCAGATGTCAGTACTGTTTCATGCAGGAAGGCTCCAATCCCCACAAACTCCCTACTTGCTCCATCTCTCCTGTTTGATATGCCCTTGCATGGCATTGCATTGTTTCCTCTTACTTTGTTGTAATTATGGTGCCTGTCAGTTTCATTGCTCCCCTTGTTCTGAGGAAAAAGTAGTTAGGACTTACTTAATGGGTATAGCTGGCAGATGTCAGTACTGTTTCATGCAGGAAGGCTCCAATCCCCACAAACTCCCTACTTGCTCCATCTCTCCTGTTTGATATGCCCTTGTTTCATGCAATGTGTGAAGAAACAGGAGGAAATGGTGTTCGCAGGAAGCTAAGCTCCCAGAAGCATGAGCGTAGGGGTAACCCTTTGCTTTTAGCTGGGGAGGAAGGGGGGAGACATGCTGTGGCCCTCCATACTTCCCACTTTAACACTTAAGTGTCATCACAAAAATGCATCACAGATATGTCCAATTTTAAGCAATACGTTTTCATCTTTTAAATATAGATGCAAGACTTATCCAATTGCAAAATATACAGTGCATACATGCAGTGTCTATGTGACCCAGATGTGATGGTGATAATGGAGAGAGTTTGTGAAAGAACATGCCCCACCTCTAGGTGGCTTGCAGGCCCCTTAGCAGTAAGCAATTCTAAACTTTGGTGTTAGCAATTTCAATTCAACAGGGCAACTGCCCACGGGAAGCTCAACAAACAGCTGAAAATCACACTTTAAAACACAGCTTTAGCTCTGATCTATTCATTTATTTTGTTTGGTGTTAAGTTTGTGTTTTGTCTCTGACACTTTCCCTGAACAGCTATTGGCTTTTTCAAAAATAGTCATGATCTGGTCTATCGCTTGACCCAATTTACATCCCCAACATCTTCCCCATCTTCCTTGTTATAAAATATCTTCACACCTTGAGTAAGTATATTTGAGTTATTTTACAGCTGTGGCTTTGAGTTCCTTTCCTCCAAATTCCTTTTTGGATTTCCTCCACTCAGGCTTCTCCACTGGAAATCTTGGACAGGGTAGGTTCTGTGACCTTTTCTTGGCTAAACCAGAGGGTTCAATTCTAGCCCAAACATTCCATTAGTTTTCTGACTAACCTTTTTCTCAAATGGAAATGTTTTGGAGCATTTGATTGTTGATAGCCAAATTACTGCTGTTCTTGTTGCAGTGATATCACTATTTGTACATACATACAAAGGAATACCGCTTCATAATTTACTACTTTTATAAGAGGTTTTTAGAAATATTGGGCCACCTTATGATGCAGATATTTTCCTAATAGAAATTTTAGAAGTGCCCAGGTGTCTGTCTATTTCTGTTACTTTAAATGGAAATCAACAAAGAGGTTTAAAAACTTCTGATCTTCCATTTTTAAAATGATTTAAATGCCCAAATAGAATGAAAATTATGTTGGAGTGATAAGGTTTTGAGTAGTATTGGTAAATTATGAAAGATCCAACTTGATTTTTAAGTTTTACCGTTTGGCATGAATAGGTGTCATAAATTTAATAAATATGTTTGAGCCCTGGTAGAACATAGACATTCCATTACAATTTTTATATTGACTTGTAGAAAGCACAGTAGTAACATGCAACTTATGGATTCTTTAATATTTAGATTCTTCTACTTAGTCTGCAATCAAAAAATCCAATAACTATCTCTGAATGTATTTTCAGAACCCATATAGCAGGTTTTGACCTAAAAATGGCCATGCAAAGTAAGTAATTTTTTAAAAAAATGTGTAGGTGGATACTTTCTTTGAACTATTCAGGGTACTTGGGCAAAGTTAAATGCCTCTCTAGTCTTTCCTTCTTTCTAAAACTAATTCTAATGCCCTATGTTAGTATTTCCAAAAGCTGTATACTTAAAATGAAAAATGAAGCTTTTTTTTATTTTATATATATAATATATATATATATATATGAAGGTAGAACCGGCACTCATAGCAGTATAAAATTAGGTGCACAAATGGCTTTTAACAGTAGAAATATTTTGTTGATGGATGCTGCTATTGAATTTGATGGACAAATTATAAATATTCACTGAGGGTCCTGAGACACATATTTTAGCATTCTTGTTAAATATTAGGGATGTTTAAAAAATGTGGGCTTTTTGTAAATGTGTAACAGCTAAGCATTTCAGCAGTTATATGCTTACGCATGGCGTGGGGGGAGGGGAAAGGTGGCTCGGGTGTATCAGAGGCAGCAGTGTGGAGGAATAGGTGGGAGCTGGCTTTTAAGCCAGTTCCCCATGAGCACCAGCCCCATGGAGCTACATAACCCCCACACACCCTCCTTCCCCTGCACTGCTGCCTCTGATACAGAGGCAGCAGCATGATGGGGCGGGCAGCCTGCTTAAAAGCCAGCTCTCCGTAAGTACCAGCTCCTGCCTGCTCCCCTCCTCCTCCAGAGGTAGCAGCCCAGAGGTAC